TGGTGAGTGTATCCGTATAATATGTCGATATAGCCGTACGCATAAAAAAATGTTCTAACGGATGGTTTTCCAATTTCACATTCACTGTCGAATGCTTCTCTCCTCACACACTGAGTTGAAACAAGGAGAAGACGGAGACGGGTGGCAGTGCACCCTAGACCACACAACCTCTCCGTGCGTTGACTAACCCCAGGAGCTGCGCCCGCACCTAACCCCCAAGCGCAGAGAAGTCAAGTCCAGGTGACGACTTTTGTTCATTCTACCGTTTGTGTAACAGAGTTTTGTTGTTTGGGTCGGTTTTGACATTTATATGCATACTTGAGATGCATTCTGTTACAAATATACTCTTGGCGGTAACCTATACTATTGTGAAACTTAATTCGGTGAATTTATCGACCGACCTTTGTACTTGGACCCCCTTATGACCTCATTTTTTATTTGCGATAAGAAATAAGTCCGGTTCATCTACGCTGGCAGCATAGTCCAAAATTGTGAGTCCTAGTTGGTCAGTTTTGTTTCATGAAAGTTCATGTTATCTTGACCTACTGTCTCAGTCCGATAGTACTTACATTTACTTCGTAGGCGACATTTGGGAATCTTTTTCTAGTCACGTCGTCCCGATTAGCAGGTTTCGGAAATCTTACTTTTGTTATGAGTACAGAACCAGTCTTCAGTAGAGTGTGTGTGGTGAGTGGCCCGACCAGCGACACATCCCAGCGAGGGGCGGGAGGTGCAACTGGCCCAACCACTCCGACAATCCGCTAACTCGGTCGCGCAGAGAAGAGGGACGCGGGCGAGCGCGACCTTGAACCTTCCCGTCCGGCGCACCGTCGCTCAGGGGCAGGAGGTAGCTTGTACTTGCGACCACTGGCACCGCCCCTAGGTGGAGCGGAACCCACGGACCCGGAAGAGAGCGTACTACCCACAGACATCGCACTGGGCAGACATTCGGGGACCTGTGTCCTCTGTTCTAGGTGTTAATCGACAAAGAAAGCATACTAAATTTCAAAACGTTACTGGTCCCTTTTTCTAGGTTACCTCCTAGTTAAGATATGTTAAACAATAAAAGACTACACAACATGACGCAGGGGTATAACTGGAACACCAGGTAGGACAAATGTGGGTGATCTTGAATATTTAACCACAAGCCCCCTCTAGCATCGAGTGAAGCTGAATATGGTACGTATTACTTTACGTAAAGTGCACAAAGAAAAACGTGGCTTCCTAGTTTTACTCGTAGAACAAGAACTGAGAACAACTCCGACGTCACAGCGTCAATCCAACTTTACCTTCCTTTCTTCTCTCTTTGATCACCACACTGGTGTCCAAGACGCGTCTCCTGTCTCCCCTCTCTCGGTAAAGGGACAGACTGGGAGAGAGTAGGGGGGTGGTCAAGTAGGGAGAGGAGAAATAAGAGTAGAGAGGAAGCGACTTGAGAGGTGAACAGGACGACAAGCGACGTCTTGCAAAAAGGTGTGGCAGGCCCCCCCGGGAACTGTGCACTTCAAGGCGCAAATCAGGAAGAGATAAGTACAGTCCGTGGTAACAGTGTCACATGAAATTTGACTTACTGGGGGGGAGAAAAATACGTCCTGGTCAAGTTCGACTCGACAAGAAAAGGGCTGTGTAGCAACTGAGTGTAAGCCGGAGTAAAACAGATGGTGCAAATTAGTCGCAGCAAAAAACCTTAGACATTTGGACCACCCGACATCATTCCCTAACACCTCTCATCGCAATGTCATTAAGGGGGGGTGAGAAAGAGCATTGAACAGACACCAGAACCATAGACTTTTGTTCCCGAATAGTCTATGTTTAAGACGCTATTACCTCCACAGTCGCTTTCTATCGTTACTGCCGCACCTACTCCGACCCCAACATCTAGAGCTTCTACGACTCTCCGTCACTGAGTTTTCTCCTTCCTTCTCGTCTTTTTGTTTCCTTTATTCATGCGCTTCGCGTACTTCCTCACCCCGAGCCCCTACCCGATGCCTTTTCCCACTGTGTAGGGCTGGCATCACCCTGCTCTGAATGCCGGGCAAGGTCGTGGTCGGTCGACCCACTGTTGTTTTAGCGACAGGTCTGCCAAGACACCCAGACGTACCTCCCGGACCGAGACACAGGGCGCAAGTAGAGAAACTGAAATACAACACAAAAAAAAAAACAAAAGACACACATGCAGATAGAACGAAAAGACGAAAAGCGGACTTTACATGACGAAATAACAACCAACTATCGACTTTCGCTCAACATAAAAAATGAAA